ACTTATTCATTCCTTATTTTTATCTATTTTAAATTAAAACCATTAACAAATACTTCCCACCATTAACAAATACTTCCCAAGTATGTTGTTAGTGACGAAGCGTGAATGCATTTGTAGAATAGGTATTTAAAAAGAAAATTAGTAAAAACTTTTTTTTTTTCATTTATCTCTTAACACAATTCAATATATAAAATAAAAAAATTATTTAGTTTCGGTTCTTATTCGGTTCTTGGTCTAGACCCGAGACCCGACCCAAACTCATCGGTTCTCGATTCGGGTACCCGTTCGGGTATTTAATTTATGAAGAACCGCTCAGTTCGATTAGGTTCGGTTCGGGACTTTTGGACACCCCTACATAAAAGAACATGTTGAAAATAATATTTAAGGGAGCAAGTGAACTCTTGCGGTTCGAGGAAGATACACAAACTAGCTCTAATTTAAGGGAGGTCGAGAAAATATGACACTTCCATAAATAAGGGCTCGTTGGGAAAGTGTGAACAAAAGTCACTGTCGACTAAAAATGAAGATAATCTCGAGTGCATAAAAGAAATTGACTCCTAATAAATTATTATAAAAATAAAACCTCGAGTCTCAACATAAACTCTTCAACCTAATTTCTCGAATAAAATATCTTGTTCTACCAAAAACTCTTTGTACGTGCATTAGAAATATAAATAATATCAAGAGTTGATATATGTTTGGCTTTATCCACGCATTTTGAGGATTTACAAACATTATTCACTTATTCATTCCTTATTTTTACCTATTTTAAATTAAAACCATTAATAAATACTTTCCAAGTATGTTGTTAGTGACGAAACGTGAATGTATTTGTAGGATAGGTATTTAAAAAGAAAATTAGTAAAAATAACTTCTTTTTTTTTTTTTTTTCATTTCTCCATAACTCGTTAATTGGAAAGTTGAGTGAAAAGAGATGATAACTTGGCACAGGGCTTTGATCCAGAAAATATAAAGGATTAAAAGGTTGAACCAATCCTTAAAAATTGGATAAACAAATAATATAGAAGTTTGAGACTAAAACGGTCGGTTCTCCTTCTATGTTTTTTTAAATAGATTTTAATTATACGCAAAATCTAATTTCAATCTATTTTCTAATTTTTTGATCAAATGTCTTGTCCAATCTTATTGTGTTAACATTATTTGAACGACATTCTTTGTGCGTGCATTAGAAATATAAATAATATCAAGAGTTATCATATGTTTGGCTCTATCCACGCATTTCGAGGATTCACAAACTGTTGATGCTCGAACTTGTAATCTATGATGTGCTTTCAAAATTGGCCTAAAATCGTGTTCTGTTGGATGCGTTTTTCTTAAATGATGCACTTATTATGAGATGGTGACATGTGGGTGTTTTCTGGCCCTAGAAACGCTGCCTTTATGATGTGTGATATAAATACCACATTGGGAGATATTTTTCACTTCTTTTGCCTTTTGAAATTCTTCGTTTCTTCTGGGTTCTTTTGGGAGTCCCTTTTCTGTAGATTAGGGTTTGAGTCCTTCGTGTTCTTCATCTCTCATAATAAACTTGTAATTACTGAGATCATTCTTGTCGATTAGCCTCTGTGATCTGTTATTGTAAGCGATTGTTGTGAGATTAGGGTTTTCTTGTAATCGTGGTTTCAATTGGCTGTTTGTGGGTTTCTTTGTGATTCTTTCTAGATCTGCAGTATTGTGAAAGAGATGAGTGTCTTGTGTCTTATTCTCTTGTATTTGGAAGAACAATTTGTAACTTGTTGCCAATTTGGGCTTATTAGTGCAACCAAGCGAATATCCAGTATTTGGATGCTCAATGGAGGATGTAGGCGTTGGATTTAGTCGCCGAACCTTCGGGGCTTAGGCCGAAACAATTCTCCATGTTCAATCTTTACTTTTCTGTAAAGTTTATTTTTTGATTTGTTGGAATCTTGTTTTAATATCGTGTGTTTTTACATTTTCACAAACGTTATTCACTTATTCATTCCTTATTTTTATCTATTTTAAATTAAAACCATTAATAGATACTTCCCACGTATGTTCTTAGTGACGAAGTGTGAATGTATTTGTAGAATAGGTATTTAAAAAGAAAATTAGTAAAAACTTTTTTTTTTCATTTATCTCTTAACAGTATTTTTAGAATAGGTATTTAAAAAGAAAATTAGTAATAACTTTTTTTTTTCATTTATCTCTTAACTCGTTAATTGGAAAGTTGAGTGAAGATGGGTGATAATTTGGCACACGGCTTTGATCCAGAAAAAGATAAAGGATTAAAAGGTCGAACCAATACTAAAAAAATTGGATAAACAAATAATATAGAAGTTTGAGACTAAAACGGTTGGTTTTCATTCTATGTTTTTTAAAATAAAATTTATGATCAAATGTCTTGTCCAATCTTATTGTGTTAACATTATTTGGACAACATTCTCTACCAATTCAAGTTAGAAAACGACACAAATTTATTTGTCTAGATTTCGCCTTTCGACAAACATATCTAATTTTGATCCTACATATTATTTGTTGGGCCGTGATTCAAAATAGTACTCAAGATTGAAAAGTTGACACATGTATAGTAAGATAGAGCTCAAAGCCTATTGGTGAGACTAGTATATATTGAACCAATGGCTAAGGTAATTTGTCAACTTTTAGGTCACATCCTCAGGCCATTCCTTAGAAATGGCCCTTGCATTGAAGCAAAAAAATGTCTTGTTACATCACACGCCTACAAGTAGGAAAATGATAGAAAATATTGCACTAGAATCATAAAATCTAAATTGGGCTATATACATTTGAAGATTGGATTTTAAGAAAAATATGTTAGAGAGAGATAAACAAATGAAATTTATGCGATATCCACAGTTGTTATGTCGCCTGTGGACCAAGACGGAAAGATTTAACCTAAGAAAAACTCAAAAAGTATAAAGACGAGAAGAGACCAAGTAAGAGAATAAAAGAGTAAAGACAAAAGACCAATCAAGAGTGTATATATAAAAGAGTACAAAACAATCGTAACTTTCAAACCATAATTATATCTATAAGTTTACTACATGTGATATTAAAGAAAACTCTCAAGTGTTGCGTACTATTAGGAAATGCTGCTACAATGATGAGAACTCAACTATAGAACAATTACATCACTCGTATCATCGACCCAATAATATCAAAATCAGTAGCCACGCCACCTCGGCTAGCTATTAGCTAACATAGAATGGTTTTCGATGTCTTGTTTGGAATACAAGATGTTTATCTAATGCCGATTTATTCTTATTATTTTGACGTGGAACAAAAGAAATAGATAATATGAACAATATTTCCTAGGAGGGACAATACAAAAACCACCAAATAACAACTCGTGACACTCAAAAGATAAAGACTAAAAGGCAATGAACAAGACATGGATAGCAACGAAAAGGCACATAAATTGGAATTATTTGTACTTGAAGCATCAAATGTACTACAAAGTGTTACAAAAAACAAAAGAAACCAATGAAGAATTTAATGTATGCCCTCCCAATATTTGTACTAATTCCTGGTTGGAAGACAACGTTCCACAATTTGACCCCATTGATTCACATGAAAAACATCTGCCTTTATGCACTAGACGAATACTATGTATAATCAATGATCTAATTAAAAATAAGTTCGTGTTTTGAATGGAGTATTGAATAAGATCGAACATTATAATGATTTAGTACATTTTAATTCTCACTACCAAGTATATCATAGAAAAATGAATAACTAGCATCATGAACATTGCCGTGACTAGTTTGAGTTTCCAAGAAAACGCTGTTTTCCTAAAAAATTTAAGTAATGGGTAGAAAGCTAGACATCATAGAAAGTGTCTTTCCCTGCCATGCATATGAAATAACAAAAATAATTTATGACGGGTTTTCTAGCCGTGACTAGTAATTTTTGTGACGCTCAACTAGGAGTGTTAAATGGGATGAGTTGAGCTACCCGACTAGCTTGGCTCTCGCCCATGGCGCAAGTTGCTGACAAGCTTGCTGGTAGAAGTGATTCGGTGTCGAGCTGTGCTCACGAGTAGGCGAGTAACTCACCCCACTTGATACCCCTAACTCAACTCTACAACAGTTGCTAGTCATCGCGGAAAGTCTTCTTGTGAAAAAAAACAAATTCCATTAAACAAGAAGAAATGATATTGTAGATAAGTGGGTTGGGGGCAATTGTAACCTTGATATCACTAAAGACAAAATATTAAATCACAAATTGGATTTCTGAAGATATTGTCATCATAAACACAAGACATGAAGGGCCAAGTGCATGTTGCTGTCCATATATAGTAACTTTAAATCAATGATTGTTGCCCCGGCCGACGTGTAATTTCAGATTAATTAGCCTAATTAACAGAGTTAGAGACTCTTAAAACGGAGAAGGATTCAATGAATTTGAAAGAATTAAACGACAAGTCACATGAAATAGAAAGTTTATATGATTGTAGAGTAACGTTAATGTAAATTTTCATGAGAAAATGGCAATAGCCGAGCTGATCATTACGTCCACTAAAAGTACAATTCTCAAGCTTCTCACATACAGTCGATGCCTACGAACCTCTATATAGAGCGGCCGCATAAAGTTAATTTGCAATTAAATCCCAAATGGATATGAAATCTAGCATTAGGTATTCTTTCATATCTAATGGTAGGACGCTTTAACGTGTACCTCTACTACTTTTGATAGTGTCTGTCACAGTCCATTGTCAAAATTTTGTGCGATTACTTCCTTTCTATTGTTTTTATTCATGATTCACTCTCTATATCTACATATAAAAGATTGGCTTTCAATTTGTCTCCACGGGAAAAGATCACTACGATATTGAGTTCCTCCCCTACCCAAAAATGTTCCATGCATATCGATGATCAGAGCCGACTCAATTTCTAAATCGGTCATACGATTTCATACTCTAGATTCAGATAAAACCTTCAATTTTGAAATTTTTTTGTTCCTCTTAGCATCGTGAATTGTTTGAACCGCTTCTTTTTAAGATGGAAGATAACTCTATTAATATTACGTCATCAAGAGACGCGTACCCTCAACCATCACCGATGAAATTATTCGGATTTCCGGTCACCGGACCGACGACATTAGAGCAGATTGATGGAGAAAATAGACGATTTGAATGTCAACATTGCAGCAGAAAATTTGCTAATTCTCAAGCATTAGGTGGCCATCAGAATGCACACAAAAAGGAAAGGCAAAGAGCAAAAAGGGTTTATAACTATATGAGTGATCATAGAAGATTTGGACCAAATGCTGCAATAATCAATCCACATGCAGCTCGATCGAGGCCAGTGGTGGCACCGCCGTCTATTGGCGGCTATGGTGCAAGATTTCGTCCTCTGCACGTATTGTCAGGTGTACCTCTGAGATATCCCGGTGGACTTCAGGTTGCGCCGCCACGACTGGTGGCGCTTGTCGGCCGAGATAACATGGGGCCCTCGGAATTAACAAGCTTACCTGCTGAGATCAATGATGGAGTGGACGTCGATCTCCATCTATAAGTTGCTTCATCTGTGAATCGGTTGTAAATAGCATTTACGACGGCGTTTCTACCTTTTATGACGGCAATTTGCTAAATATTGTCATTTCTTGTAGCGCGAGTTGTTTTTTAGTATGTACCTTTTTATGTATCTTCTCATCTTTATCCAAATCTTAATTCAGCAGTTGAGTGGCATCAATTTAGTTTCAATTAATTGACTAAATTTTAACTTATTTTCATATTTCACCACTCTATTGTAGAACACGTCCAAAATCGACGAAGATTTCTTAGTTACAGAGATATTGTAGCGAATCTTCCACACAGTCGCTCTATTAGCATTATCATAAACGTGTTACAAAATTAAATATTGTAGTTTAATAATTTTAATCCAAAGACATTATCGTAACTCTGATTTTACCATTTTCAATTTTTGGGTGCCATACCAACTAAGCAATTTCCACTAGTTTGGGGATGATAGTGAAGAAATGAAAACGACATCCACATATACAGATGTGTTTAAAAAATATTAAATAAATAAATTTGGCTTGTCTTATATTTAAGAAGATTATAATTTTAGCCAAACATGTAATTACTCAATTCTTCGCCATGTTACCATCTCTAGTAGTTGAATAGATGGTTGATAATTGCTGTTTTAGTTCAAATTATAACGATAATATAATTTTAGCCAAATATTCTATTATTTTTCTTTTCTTTTCCAAATTTTGCTTTCTTTAGTTTTATTTAACCAAATATGTTTTTATTAACAAAATTAACTTTTTGACATTACATTAACACAGAGCACATCCGTTGAAGGTCGTAGTTGCTACAAATTTAAAAACTTAAGGACTCAATTATTACATATTGAGAATTGGTGACCTACTTACTATATTTCACATAAATTTAGCACCCACTTGTAATTTTCCCCATTGGAAACAAATTTAGTTCATATTTGACAACAATACTTTATCGTGTAAATAATTGATTAAAAATAAATATGTAAAAAAATGAGTTTGAAAAGTATAGCGGTCGAACGGGCTTAAATCCATTTCATTTTGGACAGCTTACAAAAATACCTTTAAAGTTAGAGATCTTTTGAGAAATCATATGAAATTCATTTTTGAAGTAAAAAATACTGTGTAAAAATTAAGTCACTTTTCATTAAAAATAGCATTCAATGTCATTTTTATTAAAAAAAATGATGTTTCTCAAAAACAGTGATAGAAATTTAATAAAAGTGACAAACAATAAAAAAAATTTGAAAATTCAAAAAAAGTGATAAGACGATAACTCAAAAAAGTGACATCCAAAAATAAATTACACAAATTCAAAAAAAAAAAAAGACAGAAAATAAAAATATTAACAAACACTAAAAAAATGACAAAATTTTAAAAAGTAACAAACTCAAAAAAAAATAAAAATGATTCTAATTAAAAAAAAAAATGACAGAAAAAAGTGACAAACACTCAAAAAGTGATAAAAATTCAAAAAAATAACAAACACTCAAAAAGTAATAAAAAACAATCAAAACATGTGTTTATCACTAAAAAAAGTGACATAAATTTTTTTTAAAAAAAAAGTAACATACAATAAAAAAATTATAGAAATTTTGAAAAAGTGACTAACGCTAAAAAAATGACAAAAATTCAAAAAAGTGACAAATGTTAAAAAAATGCAACAAAACACTTTTTTTTTTTAATATATAATATCACTTTTTAAAGTTAAGTGCCACTTTTTTATTAAAAGGTAATATTCGTCACTCAAAAAAGTGACAGAAATTCAACAAAAGTAACAAACAATTTCTTTAAAAAAAAAGTGACAAAAAATAATTAAAAAATGATAGAAGTTCAAAAAAGGGGGACAAATACTCAAAAAGTGATAAAAATTTTAAAAAGTAAGAAATACTAAAAAATGTGACTAAAATTCTAGAGTGATCGATTTTTTCTACATATTGTCTTTTTGTGATTATATTTCACTTCATTTTAAAAATACAACACTCTATAAGTTAGAAGTGGCAAAAAGTTAATAAAGTGACAAAAAAAGTGACAAAAATTCAATAAGTGACAACCACTCAAAAAAGTGAAAAAAACGTATCAAAAAACCTTAGAATAGATCTAGGGGTAGTTGGAAGTAGCAGAAATTAAAAAAAAAAGTGATAAATGCTCAAAAAAGTAACAACAATTCAAAAAAGCAACAAACATTCGAAAAAGTGGTGAACACCAATCAAAACTCCGGCAGGATTTACAAAAAAGATAAACCAAACTTAGCATTAGAAGAAGCCACTAACAAGTATAAAACATACAAAGACTACAATTGTCCAAAATGATTAAAGAAGAGTGTCGGATAAAACATGTATATACAAAGATGACCCTCAAACTTTTCTTGTTTCTTAATTGACCTTCATTAAATTATGTAATAAAAGAGAAACACAAAGGCAAAAAAGTCTTCTATAGCTTCCCTAAAGCCAAAAGCAAAGAAAAAGAAGCCTATCAAGTTTATATGAGATATTACAATGTATACAATGGCATTATTGAGGTATAACAAATTACATTCGCAAAACTCAAAGGCAATAACACCTTGAGAGTCTAGTATCATAATATCTCATTCAACGACTCGCTTAGTACACCAATTGTTTATTGTGCTTCCTAAGCGTTCAGTAGGAAGCATATGCATATGTGATATAACCCAAGTGGGAACAACCAAATGCTTCCACTATTATCATACCCAAGAGTTTGTGAGAACGTTGTTTCCCTGAACATCCTTAGCTCTCAATCTGATCTTCCTAAAAGCACGGTCCTCTTCACCTTGAAGGTTAGCCAAAGACGCTTCAAACATTACCCAGAGTACGAGTAAAAAATTGACAACGCTTTGATATCATACCAATCCTTCTTTGCAAATGGATCAACTCTAGACACATACAAACACAGAAATATAAGCATAAAAATTTCAGGAAAAAAAATCAAGAAAAAACATGTATGAATGAAAATGTAACTCATAAAATAATTAAAAGTGCTCATGCTTTCTTCTGTCCTCCCTTCGATGTCTAACTATAACATTATGTGCTTCATCAAAATTTCACCGAGTTCTGATAACGAGATTCTGTGATCTTGGTATTGGATTTCTGGAATACCTTTTCAACTTCTTCGCCATTTTCTAAGGTTTTGGGGTTTGGGGATTTTTAGCATATTAATTATGGTGGTTTAATGATTTTAATTAGTTTTAAGGGTATTATTCTAATTTGTGATATTTAGAGGGTAGTGTGCCTAATTTTGCCTTTCATATACAGTAAACGGAAAAATTCATAGATCAGGTACTATTTATAATGAAATTAAAAATCAGGCCCCAAGTTTTAAAATTGCAAAAGTTTGGTTTTTCATGAATTAATTAATTATATTTCACAATTATTATATTAAATTGTAATATAATATAATTAACCCACCCCACCCCACCCCACCCCACCCCACCCCACCTCCATCTCCATCTCCATCTCCATCTCCCTAACTGCTCTGAAGATTACTCCGGTGACCGACGACCACTCCGCGACTGTTCTCCGACTGCGCTTAATTCTGACGACTATTCGAAGTCACAAATCCAAAAATTTATAGGTCATAATTGACGTCATTGGTCATTGACTAAAAAATTATAGGTCACATAGATCACATATTTCCAAATGTGTTGGTCACATATTATATTTTGAGTCATAGATTAACGAATTTTAAGGTCACGGACCATATAGTTGGTCACATACACCCAAACACTCGTCCCCAATCCTAGTACACTACCAATACTTGGTCACATATCGACCAAATAGTTGGTCATAGACACTCTTCGTCCCATCTGCCTGCCACCTCCACCGCCACAACCACCCACCAACAATAACATTACCAACACCTAACACTCAAACCGCCACCGTCGCCGCCTAAACAACACCACTATCATCGTCGCCCCGTCACAATACCACCCAACCACCGCCATAATAATCAATCACTAGTCACAGACATACCCAATCTCGTAGCATCCTGCCACGACCACCCCCATCGCCACGCACACAACAAAAATCATAGTCACCACCAAATCCAACAAAACCACCGCCTCAAATCCCCATAAAAATCCCCAAATCCGTCGGCACAATTACAACCCAACTATTCTAAGACATTTTCTGCGTTGCCAAACCTCACCACATACCCACCACCGAGCCACATCCACCTGCAACAGTTCGATCGCAACGCTGGCAGCAGTGTCGCATCACAACAACATCGACGCTGCCGTTCGCTACCAATCATAGGGGGAGGGGGAGAAGAGATGCCAAATCGAGATCCCTGCTCTTTAACTGCGACAGATTCACGGTGTTCGACTTTAATGGAAACCTTGTATTGCGTCGACAATTACATCGTCGGCAACAAAGGAGAGATTGTTCTCAAGGACGCCTCCGGCAATTCTCTTTTCACCATCTGCCGCAAGGTATACCTATACACACTCACACACTTAAGCGACTCGTTTTCATTTCGCCCCGACTTATTTCTGATGAATTTTTATTGCAAAATGATAGAGATTGAGCTTGGGAGACAGCTGGTTGGTGTTAGAAGGAGAGAAAGGGATAAACCCTAGTTATACGGTGAGGAAACAGGTGAATTTGCTTATTAGGGTTTGGGAAATGAGATAGAAATTTGGTGGGGTAGGTGGTAATGTGGATATATAGATTAATTTAATTAAAAATATTATTAGTAATATTAATTGTGAAATTAAAATCTAATTTTTAATTAAATAAAGTATAAACCTGATTTTCAAAAATTTGAAACTAAACATGTAATTTTCCCTACAGT